GATAAAAAACTTGCAGGAATATGCAGAATTATATTTAAAAACAGACGTACTCCTTTTGGCTGACATTTTTGAAAATTTTCGATCTATGTGTTTAAAAACTTATGGATTAGATAGTCTTCATTATTATACTTTACCAGGATTAGCCTTTGATGCTATGTTAAAAGTAACGAATGTCGAATTAGAATTATTACGAGACAGTGAGATGGTTTTGTTTGTTGAAAAAGCAAAACGAGGAGGAGTTTCACAGTGTAGTAATAGATATGCGGAGGCTAATAATAAATATATGGAAGATAAATACAATCCTGATAAAGAAATCTCCTATATGATATATTGGGATTTTAATAATCTTTATGGTTACGCAATGTGTTTTGCGTTGCCATATGGAGGCTTTGTATGGATTAATGTAATTGATATTTATAAGGAAAATATATTAGATTGTCCCGATGATGGGGAATATGGATACATACTTGAAGTAGACATTGAATATCCAAAAGAACTCTTTAATTTACATAAAGATTTACCTCTTTGTCCCGAACACATGGTCCCACCATCTTCTAATTCAACAATTCCCAAATTGTTAACCACATTGTACGATAAAAAAAAATATGTTATTCATTATATATATTTGAAACAGATTGTTAAGTTGGGTTTAAAAATAACGAAAATTCATCGCTGTTTAAAATTTAAACAATCCCCTTGGTTAAAAAAATATATCGATTTAAACATTGCCTTGCGTAAGGAGAGTAAAAATGAATTTGAAAAAAACCTATATAAAATGTTCATAAATGCCCCATATGGGAAAAGTATAGAGGACCAAGGCGACATAGGCAAATCCATATCGTAAACAAATATAATGGAAGATATGGAGCAAATTTCTATATTTCCCAACCTAATTTTCATAGTTGTACTATTTTCGATGACAGTACTGTAATAATTGAAATGACAAAACAAAAAGTCAATTTTAATAAACCAATATATATAGGGACGTGTATTTTAGATATTTCCAAAACCATTCTATATGACTTTCATTATAATTATGTCGTAAAAAAATTTAGAGATCAAGCAAAATTATTATATACAGATACAGATAGTTTAATATATCAGTTTTTTGTTGACGATATATATAAACATATTAGTGAAGACATTGACAAATTTGATACATCAGAATACAAAGAGAATAATGTATATAATATTCCATTAAAGAATAAAAAAGTGTTAGGTCTAATGAAGGATGAGAACAAAGGGGAATTGATGACACATTTTATAGGATTACGTTCGAAAATGTACACTATGAAAATTTTAAATAAGAAAGAGGAAATTAAAAAGGCTAAAGGAATAAAGAAATCAGCATTATCAGAACTGTCCTATAAAGATTATTATGCAAGTTTATTTAATAAAACAGTAGTAGAAATTTCACAACATTCAATAATTTCGAAAAAGCATGCTGTATATACAATGTCTCAAACAAAGGTAGCACTCAGTCCATACGATGATAAGAGAATAATAAATTATTTATCCACTGATACTCTTCCATGGGGTTTCAATGATAAATAATAGTATTATTGTATAAAGTTTTGTAAATCGTTTTTTAATTAATCTACAGCCACCCAGAACTAACAATGAAATTATGCAGGTAGGTATAACTATACTATATTGATAAAATATATTTTGAAATAAAACTCTTTATTTCAGTCTGATCTAAATAAATGGGAGGCGGTTTTTAGAGATCAAAAACGATTTATGAACTTACAATTTAAGACTGAGAAAAACATAAAACCTCAAACTCTACCTACATTATTCTGGGACAACAAAATGTATGGAACATTACCATGTTTTGATTGCAAGAAATTTTTTTGTTTCTGTAAAAGATCCTTAGAAGTCCACAGGGACACTGAACCTACATTGTATTGTTATGAAACTATGTCTGATTCATAAAAGGTATTCTGGTAAGATAAATTTATTTATCATTGATTAATTTTTTTTTTTTAGCCCCCATTCCACGTATCGTTGGATTTGGAACCTCAACAAGGTGAAGAGGGTGACGAAAATTGGGACAACGACTGGCATGAGTCACCCTTAGACCACATCAAACGCAGATACTCGTACCTACATTTGGAACCTCAACAAGGTGAAGAGGGTGACGAAAATTGGGACAACGACTGGCATGAGTCACCCTTAGACCACATCAAACGCAGATACGAGTATCTACATTTGGAACCTCATGAGGAAAATTGGGATAACGAATGGTGGGAGTCACCCTTAGAACAAATAAAAAAAGCAGCCCTAACTAAGAATATAATTAGGGAGCAACCTCCGAAGCTGTCGAAGAGACAAAAAGAAAAATTTCGACAGTCGGAGAGGGAGCGCCATAAAAAACTAGCTATGTAATTATAAATTTAATAAACTTTTAGATAAACTTTTAGTTTTTTTTTTTTAATACTAGTGAGAAAGATTTATTTATCATTGATTAATTTTTTGTTTTAATTCCAGCCTTTAATCCACCTACAGATACCAGCGTCGGGTATGGGAGTTCTCAAAATTAAAGAAGAAACTATTATCAGAGGAGGTGTTTAACTATAAAATCAGTTACAATGCCCAGATACCAGATGACCATCCACTGCACAGAGATGCATTAATTTGGTTAGGCTACATTGATCAGGTGACGTTGTCCTATTGGCAAGATGTGAAAACAAACTTATGGAATGACATAGCGATTTACCAATATTATGAATTATGTAATCTTATATAAATAAATTTTTAGATTTTGTACGTTGTTTTTTTTCCTTCAGTTCCTTTAATAAATGTAAAAGAGATAAAGTATTCCAAGATGTTCTTACACTTGAATAGCTTGACCAAAATTTTGGTGGCTACATTCAAATTTTGGTGACAATATTTATTCAAATTTTGGTGGATTTTTTCAAAACATCTTATCAGTTATATTTCTAAACGATTTACCAATATTATGAATTATGTATAAATAAATTTTTAGATTTTGTACGTTGTTTTATTTTGGTGGATTTTTTCAATACATCTAAGCGCAATGTAATCTTGTATAAATAAATTTTTAGATTTGGTACGTTGTTTTTTTTTCCTTCAGAAATGTAAGAGAGATAAAGTAATCCGAAGTATACCTCTAGACAAGTTTTAAGAGGCTAGGCTAGGCTTGGCTAGATAAGCCCGTAAACAATTTATTTTTTTAACTCACCAACACAAAAATTTTCTCAAAATATATTTCGATCACCCTGTACAAATTTAACGAAAAGAAGAGGAGATCTAAAGATAAGCGATGAGTTTTACACTTCATATACAAGGTGGTCTCCGCTTCTTTTACTTCTTTAGGACAGGTAAGACAGGTGAAAATAGGTGACACTTCTTCGGCTGAGAAGAAGAGATCTAGAGATAAGCTACCAATTCTTACAACCCTCTGGTCATTGACGATCACTTCTTGTACACCTTCTTCGGCTAAGAAGAAGAGATCTAAAGATAAGCTACCAATTCTTACAACCCTCTGGTCATTGATGATCACTTCTTGTACTTCTTGTACACCCCAAGGTCAAAGAAGGCTTGTATCGTCCTCAGCATCAGAGACCCTGATGGACAGGTTACCAAAGTGGGTTTGAACCCCGTCTGCTCTACTACTGACGGGTACAGCTGTTTTCGCAGTGGCGCCGGCCGGCGGGTGGTTTAATGATACACAAAATGCATTATTCTCCATTCAAATTACTTTTGTCGGGAATACCTTTTTTGTTTGATTATCGTAGATGTTTTAAAAATAATTATCACATTTTTTAATTTATATGTCTTAGCTAAATATAGTAATTAAATATAAATTTGTGAAACGTGACTGCAAAAAACACCATGGTGTTTTATATATAATAAATTTAAAATAACATAAAAATATTAATCAAAAAAAAATTTAATTTGTTGTCACAAAAAAATTTCGCAGCTATAGCTTGAAATTGATTTCAAATCAAACTATCTGACCGTACGTTCATGAGATTTGACGTCACGCAGCCGATAACGGTGAAACTAAATGCCAATGATGAGTAACACGTTTCACTATTAGATTTCAGTAATTTTTTAAGCAATTTTCTTCAAAGTTTGAACACACTTTTCTCGATTATTACTGGACATAAAAAGGTGAAAAAAAAACCAACGATTACAGAAAAAAAACTCTTTCAAGTGATGAACGTAAAAAGTTTGGTTATAATAGAACGTTAAACTGTACAATCCGATATTCCAAAAGAACTTTCAAAAAAATTAAAAAAGTAAAATCATCGGTTTAAAGCAACATAACTTTGAATAACGTGTCCAAATTTCGAGATATTTTGTCGGTAAATAACAGAGAAAACACTGTATCTAGGTTTTGGTGTACCGATAAAACAGCCTTAATGAACATTTATGTGGTGTGCATTGAAAAATTAACCCGGTTTAATTGACTTACGGCAATCATAGACATACTATACAAATATTTTAACATTGTAAATATAATAACATAAATATAAATATAATATAATTCAGTATAATATAATTAAACATAAATATAAACAATTACATAACCTCACAAATCATATGTCGATAAAGACCCATTACACCAAATGTAATTCTCAATCCGAGTCTGTGTTCTGTGTTTCCTTCTAAAACATGGCGCGCGTGCTGAAAAACTTCAAAGGCGGCATCTGAGAGTGGGCATTCTGATTATTTATTATTCTGTGGTAATGATATGTAGTTCTTATCAGAATTGACGGAACTATTGTTATTGTTTGGGCAGTAATTTTCGTACAGTTTGGTACAAAATTAAATATGAATATATGAATTTATTATGAAACTAAAAGACATAATTATTTAGATAATTCATAAAATTGTGCGTTAAAAGGAAGAAAAAACACGGAATAAACTTAAAAAAAGAAAATAACACAAAACATTGCTCCAGTGCAAAAAGGTGAAATCAGCTTTCTACATAGTTTTGCTAGTGATATTTAATATTAATAAGAACATACCTAAACCTTATATCACTTGTAGAATAGTCTAACTGCCGTTTTATACGAAGATGTTGACTATAGTAATAAATAACAATCATTAATAATATAATTAACTGATAGAAGATTTTATAAATGCACATACATATATTGTGATCATGTTGTAAGAAAAAAGTTTTTATTTATTTTAATATACAGGGTTGGAATAAAGTATGGAGCTAACTAGATATTTTTGAAACAAATAAGACGTCATTCATAAAATTTTGCATGCTAGTACAATACACATAGCGAATCTAACGCCATATTTTTGTTACTACTCTACTTCCGCTTTTACCGGAAATACCTTTAACTTATTTAATTTAAATGGAACACCCTATATATTTATCCAAATATTAAAAGAACCTGTTATTGGTCATTCATACATACCAAGTTCCGTACAAAAAAATGTATTAAAACAAGAAATAAATTACTATTCTTCTTCTTCTTCTTCTTCAGCCTTAAGTAATCCAACTTTGGACATAGGCATCCTCCAAATCAATCCAGTGTTTTCTATTTTGCGCCACTTGCTTCCAGTTGTGTCCTTCGATCTTCTTAATGGCATCAGCCCATCTCATTTGTGGTTTTCCTCTGCTTCTCTTTCCTAACCATGGTCTCCATTCTTGTATTTCGTGGTTCCATATTTTATCCTTTAGTCGGGTATTGTGTCCTGCGAAGCTCCATTTTAATTTGGCAACATGTTTTTCTGTGTCTTTTACTTTGGTTTTGCTTCTAATCCATTTGTTTGTTTTTTTGTCTATAAGTCTCACCCCGAGCATTGATCTTTCCATCGCTATTTGTGCTTTACTATTTTATCCATATTAGACTTGGTGAGTGTCCACGTCTGTGAACCATACGTAGGTATGGGGAGGATACACTTTAGTGCCTTGTTAAGATAAAACTTGTAGCGTTTTAAATTTGTTTTAACTATAAAATATTTATGTATAAAATTTTGTAGTACGTCCCTGAGCTTGATATAAACAATTTTGTCTCTTTTTTACGCATTCAAATCCCTAAGAAAGAATTTATCTATTGGTATGTGTTAGATATTCCGTTCTATTTTTTTACGTTTCTGAAGTCAAGTTGAGGAATGTGTCAAGGTTAAATTGAAAGTGTTAATTTCGAACTGGAAATGTTTCAAGGTTATTTGGCGAGATGGTCAAAGTGGTTTATTTTTGTTTGAGTTCCTTGGCACGAACGGGCATCGGAAGAGAAGACGTAAGGGAAGTGATTTGCGTTTGATTTGTAGATACAACGAAGGTCAGATTTTAGGTTTGGAAAGTTATTCATGTGTCATTATTTTTGTTTTTTCGAAGTTTATCTTAAGACCTACTTTTTCTTAAGCTTGAAATAGTTACGTCATCATGGTCTGCAGTTCTTCGAAACTTGTAGCGAATATTACAATATCATCAGCGTATCTCAAATGACTCAGTTTTCTTCCATTAACATTATTCCTTTATCTACCAGTTAACGTCTTTGAACACGTCTTCAGTGCAAGTGTGAATAGCTTTGGTGAGATAACATCTCCCTGGAATTACTCTGTTGATTGGTATAGCTTTGGTTTTCGCATCTATTTGTATTTTCATTGGAGCTTTCTTGTAAATATTATCTATGAGCATTCTGTATCGGGAGTCTATCCTGCAGTTGTTCATAGTTCTCTCTATTGCCCAAACTTTATGGAGTCGAATGCCTTTTCATAATTAACAAATCCAAAGTTCTAGTGACATTCATTGACTTTCTCTATTAGCGTTCTGACTGTAAGAAGATGATACGCTGTACTGTAACCCTTTCGAATCCTGCCTGCTCTACCGGTTGATAGCTATCGAGCTTCGACGTTAATTTGTTAGTTATTACTCTCATAAACATTTTGGACAGCAGGGAGATTGGGCTATAGTTCTTCAGATCTCCCTGTCTCCCCATTTGAAGAGAAGTATTGTGAAACTTTCATTCCAATCATCTGGGACTTCTCTTCTGTGAAGACGTTAGTTGAAAAAATTTTTCAATTCTTCGACAATAATTTCACTCCCCTCCTTTAACATTTCGACAAGTATTCCATCTGGGCCTGGAGCCTTATTGTCCTTTTGTTGTATCATAGCTTGTTTTATTTCGAAGAATTCTATGTTAGGTAGTATCTCTGAGTTGACATTCGTTATCTTTCTCTTAAGATCTTCCTTTGCATTGTTATCTGAGTTCTTGTTTGAGGAATATAAATCACGGTAAAATGTTTGAGTAACTTTTGTGATTTCGTTCTTTTCTCTTATTTATTTTCCATCTTTATCCTTTAATGAGACTATTATGGGCTTTCCTATTAAATTACTTCACAGTTAAAGTAAATAGTATTAATTGAAATTAGGTTGAATGCTCGAATAAATGAACTTTGAAAAATAAGGCTATTATCGAGCACAAGTTAAGTTAAGTTAAGACAATGAGAGTTTCCATTCGTTTCTTTGTGATCTCCAAATCTTCCAATAGAAAAACTATTTGGAGTTGGATCTATTGGAAGATTTGGAGATCACAAAGGAAACGAATGGAAATTCTCATTGTCTTAACACTCAAATTAATTTAAAATGTACTAAATTTAAACCTATTTTTAAAAACTTTATTACAGCTTCACCTCGTAGTGGACCCAGCTCGGCTGTCTAGACTTCCTGCACTGAGTTTATACATTAAGAATCTACCAATTTCATGCTTTGTTCAGCATTACTATTGTATTTAACAATTTACACAACTAGCTTGCTCAGATTCAATTGATCCACAGTTGGAGTTGATTTCACTCTTCATACCTCTGCATAATCTACATATACTAATTCCACAGTTTTATATTTCAACACCTGTTGGTCAGTTGGTCTTTAGTAATGCTATTACATATTAGTTTTACAGTTCCCCCATTGGCTTGAGGTTTAACTGAACTACTTGAACTATACCCATTTACACACTGCTTTCAATTCTGATTTAATTTTAATATTTCAATTTCATAGTCAATTTTTCTTCTCGTTTTTGCAGTATTGACAGTGCCTGGTAGACCATTTTATTGTAGTCAACTACCCACTGTCCAATAGATCGTTTGGTCTATTTCTTTCATTCACACTTTATGTACACTTCATTTAGCCTCAAACCTACAACCTTATTATTACAGACGGGTGTGAGTGTGAGATCTGGATTATGCAATCTAGTTTAAATCAAAATATTCTATATGTCATACTTCATCAGCTGATTTTTTCAGTAGTAGTTCTAGTTGGACCTTTGGCCAATGACAACTTTTATACAGAATTTTAATATGTGCTGATCACAGATCCATAACTTTGACTGCCTATCAAAGTTGTCATATGTCACATGTCACCGTATCATTTCCGCTTAGATCATTATCCCTCCAGATACTGACAAAGAATGTAGCGTAGAATCTTTTAAAGTAATTTTAAACTGTTTGTCCTCGTTTTAGTGTAGTGTTTTGTACAATTTTATGTTATTATTAATGTTTCCACATTCTACGCTTGCCGGATAGTTTATATTTTGACGAAGTAAGTCTAAAACGTTAATCTCAAAAACCTTTTTTTCATCCATTAACTTCGAGTTTTTTATCGAAGTTAACTAATTTCCTTCATCTAAAAAACGTTTTCTTGGCTTATTTCAGATGCCCCTGAAGATGCTATTTTAGGCGAAAGTACTTGGGCTAGATTTAATTAACTTGTGCTCGATAATAGCCTTATTTTTTAAAGTTTAAATAGTAATAGGTAAATTTATTCACTAAGACCAAGCAGAATACTAATTAAAAACAAAACTCCTCAAATGTTTAAAATGCTAGCCGTTCACCTCCTGACATTGTGCAAGTGTTCCATCTTGTTGAAACCAAAACCAAAGACTTTGAAGACTTTGTAGTAGACATAACACGGATAATTAAAGAACAACTAAGAATTGACCATCTAAATTACGAAGAACAAGAACAAATTATAGACATTTGTACTAAATATGTATGCAGATATATTTTAGGTAGTCAAGGTAGGTATACCATTGCTTAAGAAAGTCAATTTTGGGCAAATTTGTTATCAAAAAACTCATTATTATAAAAATAATCGAAGTTTTTGATGTACTTACTCAAATGGATTGTTAGAACTGTTTCCGTTTTGTGATTGATTTCTGTCCATATACGGTACTCCATCATATGAAGGGCAAATTACGATCCCAGTTCTATTCTCTCGCAAAGCTATGGGAATTGTACAAAACGGCGGATACACTACAGTTTCGTGACGTACTGGATCCGATAGACTTCGTATTACTACAAGCAGGATGGAAAATATAACGGGAGCCACTATTTCTATTGCGGTTTGTATGGGTTTTCTATACTGAAGCAACCAATTCTTCCACATAAGGAGAATAAACTTGTCCAGGTTTGCCGCCATGGCACCTGAAACAAAAATTTTGATTAATGATTACCTCATTGGTAACTATAAAATATATTTATTGGGAATTATTTGATTTTTTAATTCCAAATTATACAAAGTGGAAAATAAACATAAATTTAATAAGTAGTCGGCTGTATACCATGAATCACAAAAAATTTTATTTAAAAAAATTCCTTTATTTTTATATTCCTTTTTTATATTAATATATATTTATAGGGATTTTTTTTAAATAAAAACTTTTGCGATTCATGGTATACAGCCAACTACAGGAATTCAGTTTCCTGAACTTTATTTTTTAACTACTTAACAAACACAAATATTTATTGTAGCAACTCAAAACTACAATATTGTGCGAATTAATGGAATCACTGTGAATTTTTTTTTCATTTTTTCAATATTCACAAGAAATGTTTTGGGGATGTTTTTCATACATGGGGGTTGGATCTTTGGTGCCAATTGAAGGCATGATGAACAGCCAAAAATACAAATCAATGTTGGAAAGTATTTGGACAAACAACTCCAAAAATGTCAACCCCAAGGAGGAGCGATTCTTCAACAGGACTCTGCTCTCCTGTCACAAATCAAAGGAAATAATGGCATTTTTCAAAAATAAGAAGATTAATGTTTATGATTGGCCAGGTAATTCGCCCGACCTCAACCCCATTGAAAATTTATGGGCCATTTGCAAAGCTAGACTGCGAAAAATCGACTGTACCACTAAAACAAAAATGATAGAAGCGGCCATTCAGGTTTGGTATCGAGATGAAAGGATATCTGACAACTGCCAGAAACTCATAAAATCTATGAGAAAACGGGTAAAAGCAGTAATTGCTGCCAAAGGGGACATATTTCCTACTGAATGATGTAAGTTTACCTTTATAGTTTTGTCAAAATATATTTTTTACTAAATAAACTGTTTTTTTTCATTAAAACAGCCTATGATTCCATTAATTTCGCACAGTAACTGTACATCTATCTATCTATCTATGCAGCCCTTGCTGTCCAATTTTGGACATAGGCCTCCTCATCCTTCTTCCACGTCTCTCTATTGTAGGCAGTTTGTATCCACTTCGGGCCTGCGTGTTTCTTCAAGCCTTCCTCTTTTTCATTTGTAACTATATGGTCCCAGTGTATAATCATCTTATTCCATCTGTGGCATTTCTGTCTTATGGTATGTTCAGCGAACTTTCACTTAATTTTTGCTATCTGCGTTGATACATCGGTCACTTTTGTTTTATTGCGGATCGAAGTATTTCTTTTCTTGTTTTATAGCCTGATTTTCAGCATTTGCCTTTCCATGGCTCTTTGGGTCTTTGCTATTTTTTCCATGTTTTCCTTTGTAAACGTCCAAGTTTGTAAATCGTAGGTGAGAACAAGAAGTATACATTAGTTGAAGACTCTTGTTTTTAAATATTGGGGGTATTTTCTATTTTTTAGTATATAGAAAAGGTTTCTGAAGGATACCCAAGCCAACCGTATCCTTCTCTTTATTTCTCCTGTCTGATGTTCTTTATTTAAGTTAACTAGTTGTCCCAAATATAAATAATTTTACTTGTTCTATAGTTGTTTGTGCAATTATAATTATTAATTCTTCTGGTTGGTTGGTCATAATTTTCGTTTTATTATAATTCATTTGTAGACCTATTTTTGTTGATTCGCTATTTGATTCATCCATCATATTTTGTAATTCTTCCCTTTTATCTGTTATTAATACAATGTCGTTAGCATATCTCAAGTGATTTAAGTATTGGCCATTTATGTTAATACAGTGTTTTTCCCATTGTAATTTCCTCATAACGTCTTCCAAAGCTTGATTGAATAGTTTGGGTGATATAGTGTCACCCTGTCTGACTCCTCGCCGTATCTTAACCTTCGGAGTACGAAGACTGGGCCAAGCGTGACCCGAAATTCACTTATTTCTTAATATTTCATGAAATATTTTTTTTACAAATCTGATTGTTCGTAAGTTCTCTTTATTTGTTTCAATCAATTTTTTCGTGTATCATTCGTGAACATGCAAATTGCAGTTTTTCCTCTACGTAAAATCTATGATGTCGGGTCAGTCCTGACCCGGTCTTCGGATATTGAAGAATTTTTCAATGTGTTTGTAGGTACACGTAAAACGCAGCCGTCTTTGTTTTCCAGTAAACGTATTCAAGGCAAAATGATTATATTTGTAGAAATATTAGTAGATAGAAATTAACCTTGGGAGTAATGTAGTGTTTGTAGGTACACTCTGTTTTCCATTTCCATAATCATTTTGCCTTGAACGTATTCAAGGCAAAATGATTATGTTTGTAGAAATATTAGTAGATAGAAGTTAACCTTGGGAGTAATGTAGTGTCTAATAGGCATATTCTATGGGAACGTCCGAGACGAGAGGTCTAACTTTGGTGTAAAGCAGTATTTCACGTTTGTTGATCAATTTAATTCAAGCATCGATCTTGAAGTCTGCAGTATTATATCAACATGTGGAAAAAGAATAAACCTTTGAGTGAAGCTGAGTTGTATGCCTTACTCCTATCAGATAATGAAGAAGATGATGTTGCAGAGCTGGATGAAAGCAATAGTGAAGCGAGTGATAATGACGGTTGTGAGCCAGAAGCACATGAAGGTAATTTATCAATTACTAAACTCGAGAATGAGGAAGTTTTGGCGACAACTTCTGAAATATAGATAGTGAAAGATCTAGCGTATCTGATGTTTTGTGCGAAGGACGAACATGGCGTTATTTAGCTCCAAAAAAGGGTAAGACATTGGCATGTAATTTATTACAGAAAAACGTAGGTCTAACTAAGAAAAGTCAAAATATTGAGACATGCATGGATGCCTTCAATTTATTTTTTTTCTGATAGTATAATGTCAATGATTCTTGAGTATACCAATAAGAGAGCTATTGAGTTTCATAGCTGCGTATAACAGTAAGAACGAGAAAAAAATGAAGGATTGGATTGAAGTTGATCTAGTCGAACTGCGTGCTTTTTTTGGTATACTTATATTATGTGGAATATTCAGAGAGTCCCATGAGAAGGTGCATAATTTATGGTCCAATACAAATAATGCATTTACGCGTCCTATATATAAAGCATCTCTAAGTCGGGATAGATTTTATAAGTATTTTGAAGCATATTCGCTTTGATAATGTGGAAACGAGAGCAGAAAGAAGAGAACGAGATAAATTAGCTCCTATTCGAGAAAACGCTGATCTATTTGCCCAAAATTGTAGGGAATCATACGAACTTTCTGCTTTTGGTACTATTGACGAGCAGCTTTATAGATTTTAGGGGCCGTTGTCCATTTCTAATTTATTATACCAAGTAAACCAAAGAAATACGGTATAAAGGCTTGGACCCTATTGTGACGCTGAAAATTTTTATTGCTGTAACTTTGAGATATATACTGGAAATATTGGTGATCAATCTGAACGTAACCAAGGCCCAAGAGTTGTCAAAACACTTACAGAACATTGGTATAGGTCTGGTCGAAATATTACAACTGATAACTTTTTTACAGATATTGCTTTATCTGAAGAACTGTTAACCAAAAATTTAACTCTTTTGGGTACTATCAGAAAAATAGTGAAGAGTTTACCCAAATCATTGCTTGAAATGACAGATCGCTCACTGTATTCTTCAAAATTTTTGTTCACTAAAAACATTACCTTATTTTCATATGTAACCAAGCCTAATAAGTTTGTTGTATTATTATCGACCTTACACAATGAACATGAAATTTCTGATAAAAACCAAAAATTTAAACCAAAGATTATTTTGGATTACAACAAAATCAAAAGAGGAGTCGATATTTTAGATAAATTGATCAGAGAGTACACATGTAAAGAGCAACAAGAAGATGGCCCTACGAATATTTTTTAACTTTTTGGATATTGCGTGCTACAGTGCTTTCGTTCTCTGGAATACGAAAAATCCTGAATGGAACAGCCAAGTAAATATAAAATATCGCAGAAAACTATTTCTGGAGGAGCTTGGAAAACAATTAACCTCGCCCAATATAAAACGAAGAGCGGAAGCAATACAAGAAGAACCCACCGGATACCCTAAATCCGTAATCGCTGCAATAGAGACCACCGGTGTTAGTGTAAAAAAGCAAATCGAAGTGCCGAAATCTGCAACAAAACGAGGTCGTTGTTATTCTTGTAGGGGTAGTGACAATAAATATTTAAAAAGGTGTGACATGTGTAAAAGATTTGTTTGTAATACTCATTCAAAATGCAATGAAGTCCATATTGTCAAAATTAAATGCAGCTACTGTCAAAAAGACCACGATGATGAACCATCTTAAAAAATTTAAATACAAAAATTTGGGATCATAATTTTTATGTTTCTTTGTTTTTTTTTGTTGAATTAAAGATACTGTTTAATAATACTGACTATTTAAAACATCCTTATAAATAGAATAAGAATGGGTCACGCTTGACCCATCTTCGTAACCTAAGTAAGTCAAATAATCTCCGTACTCCGAAGGTTAATACGCTCCGTTTGTTCAACTATTTTAATGGATGTTATTGCTTGATCATATATATTGAAAATTAAGTCCGTATATCTATAGCCTATTCTCCCACTTTTTAAAAATGTATTTACTACCCAATGTTCCCAAATAAAACCACTTCATAACAAACTTAATAAAGAAAAACTCTCCAAATCTCTATTCAAATTACTCCCCCAGAAAGTTACCTTTCAACTTACACATAAATCGATTTGATTATGATACATATTAGTTGAGAGCCACTGCTGCAAACAAGTGCCAGTCTCCTCCCTGGAAAGTTCGAACACCAAAAGTATATTTTATCTTACTAGGCTATCCCCAGCATTTACACAATCCCTTTGAAATAGACAACAATTCTACTCTACCATCTCCAGATATCCTGATTTCAAACAAATTTGTTGACGCCTCCAAAAGAAGCAATGGTGTAGCTGCTGCAGCTATTTTCGAAGACAGTACTTCTGTCACCCGCTTAGCCAATGAGTGTAGCATATATACT